CTGTCCAAGCTACACTATCTTCATCTGCTCTATCCTCTCGTATTGGATATGAAAATATATTTGAAAAATACAAAGGCATATGTCTTAAATGGAAATTGGGATGTGAAAGTGTCAAAGGATCTGGGTACCTTTTTCATAAGACATTGAGCTAGCATGCAGTTGTAGTGAGCAGTTGGAAAGGCAAGTAATATGTTAGTCTGCAATCCTCATGGTTTATTATATTGAAGACCAACTTAGTGTTTATTCTTAAGAGTAAATATTTATCATCTGCTCTGCATTTTCTCAAAGTTAGCCCCTTAGGCAAGCAAGTTATTGATTAATTTTTAATACTTTAAGACCAGATTGTATTCACTTTTTTTTGTGGCTTGAAATACTGTTGCCTCTGAGTTAGTAGAGATGCAGAATGTGCTTTTATTTTTGTTATTCCCTAGATTCCCAAAACCCATTTTATACCCATGTAACTTGAAACTATTCTGACCTTTAGAACACTGGAGAATGCGTGCACTGCTATTCACATTAAGCAGTTTTGGGCTTGGTAAGACACGCTATTAGTTTGACCTCCATGAGCAATTTGATTTGTGCTGAGGTACAACTTATTATTAATACTGCTAATTTTGTATTGTGCGGTTGAAGAAAGATGTTTCTTGAAGGATTATCAGTATTGCAACTATGAATACATTAGTGTGATTTCGTCTGTCCACTGCAGATGTTGCCTACTAAACAAGTTACAGCTAATGTTTACATGTGAGCCATTTTGGAACAAATTATCCCGGTCCTGTTATCCTGGTGACTGGTAATGACTTGTTCGTGACTAGATTTTTAGTCATTTCAAGGTGTCAGCTGCAGAAATGGAAAAGATAACTCGGGAGGATTTGGGAACTGCCTGTTTGTTTTTTGTCCCCATGGTAACTATAAATCAAATGCAAGTTTTTAATTTTTTATTCAAATCATCCTATCTTCCTCCAAAAGAAGAATGGCCATACAGTTCCTGAAAGGTTCTGCTTTATGTACTAAAGAAGCTTATGAATTTTGTTTTAATGCTACCAAATACTATTGACTGCCATTTGTTTGGCCTGAGTGATTTAACTTTTTAATTGGGACCTTTTCCTCTGGAAAGTGTATTTTAGCTTTCGATATGCTCAAACTGAGCATAACAAATGCACATATTTAATTTTGAATAAAAATTGAGATTGCATAATGGTAGGCTGTTTCAAGCCTCAATTGATTGAACATGTGATGCAACATTTAGTGGTTTGTGAGCCAAACCAAGTCAGTTACAGAAGGTTAGTAATAGAATAATTGAGCTGCACCAGCAAGGGTACGCTTGTTGTGTATGCTGAAAGGAGGCGAGAAGTCTGACTGTAGGAAGATCTCCTTTTTTTCCTTTGAATGGATTGTTTTTTAAAATCTCTTCACCCTTGACTGCCCACCCATCATCTATTTTTGGTAAAGTAAAAGTGTTAAGTCTTTACTCTGGAGACTGGTATTTCACATGCTTTTCCTCTACAGCTCCTCCACTGACATTTGTCACAAGGATTGCTCCAATTTTTAACAAAAATAGGAGTCAAACCTTTTCTGGAGGCTGACTGAGGAATTGCCTGACTCCAGTAAGCCCTCTGCTGGTTAATGCACAGCAATACTGCATAAGAAAGGCCATCCAAATTCATGTCTGGGATAAGTAGTCAGAATTGTGCAGTACAGAAGAGGCCTTTGACCCATCGTCCTTGCTGTAAAAGATATACTACTACCTAAACTATCCCACTTTCCTGCATTATGTATAACCTTGAATGTTCTGACACTTCAGGCACTCATCTAAGCACTGGTGTCCCCTAATGGACACTGGCAACTTTGGACAGAAGTCCAGTTACATAATAGTGGGTTCTATGACAGCACAAAAACGCACATCAAGGGTATATAATTTTTAAAAGCTAATGTCTTTCAAAATGTGGAAGATCAGTAAAGTGCTACTCCTATTGCTTTCTTATTAATAAACAAAATACATGCAGCAAAATACAGTTCTGTTGATTTTTCTTTCAGGTGTTCTTGCTAAGTATGAGTTGGAGTATAAACTGCTTGGATGCCATTTTTCTAACAGTTGTAAGTTGTAACAGCTTTTGTCAGTAATACCAATAGGTATGTTGTGAACCTTGATACAATATGAACACTTTTTGGTTCACTCTTCCCCATTTTCTGCTACTAATGTATGCTTCAATTCCAGTGAACTGTCCTTGCATACTGATTCCAAATATAACGGTAATCGCCCTTTCCTGATGACTAATATTAGCATCTTTCAGCGATTTGTGGCAGCTAAAACTAATGTATTTTAACTGTGGAGTGTAGTAATACATCTCAAGTTTTCTGTCTCCACATTGGAAACGATTAATTAAGTAGCAATTATGTAGAGTCTATGTTCTCAAGACATTTAGTTGCGTTCTGTAATCACTGGATTAAATTTGACACATAAATTACCAGCTAAATATATGGGCAAATATGGTAGCTATGGTATACTTGGAACAAACTGATATTGACAAGTTGATCTGTTTCTTGATTTCAGAGGACTTGGGGTAAATTCACCTGCATTTGTTTTAAATTGTCTTGGGTTTTTTCAATGTATCCTCTAGTTTAAATACCCTTTTTGTCTTCCTCTGGCTGCTTCTCTTGCATCTTAGTGCTGTCGCTCTTTTTGACTTTAGACAGATCTAGACTTCATTCTAACTATAGTTTTCTTGTTCGACTATAGTCTGTCTGACTTGGGTACTTTACAATGCAGCACCCTGCAGTGTTTAATCATAAGCCAGGGTTCTCTGAGATCTGTCAAAAGTCAGCAAGTGGAAAATGAGCTGCCCCCATGGTTGTAGAATGAATTGCCAATTTTAAAATGTGGTTTTCCATGGTGTGTACCTCTGTTCACAACAGACTAAAATATTTGAAAACCAATGTTTATTTCTGGACTTGACTGACTGAACCCCGAACAATAGAGTATGTATCTTGTGGTTGACTCGGAAAGGCTTCACAAAAGCTGCCTGCCTGTTCCTGTTTACAAATGAAGTAGGCAATCTTTGGGAGTTGGGAGGAAGACTTACAATTGTATCTTAACTTAATGCCATGTACATTTCCCACAATTTAGATTTGATATCCATTGCTGGGAAACAAACCCAGTCTCTCCAGAAATACACAATATTAAAAAAAAATGATTTTAGGGTATCAGGAATGTGAACAATTCTGAGCCTTGTGTTTTATAACTCTGTTCCATTGGGGAATTGTAGACCAAAGAGCTGGGGGTTCTTGTGGTATATTGGTAGTTTCCCTACCTATGGGCCAGGATGCCTGGGTTTAATTCCCATCTGCAGATGGGGGGGTCACAACATATGAACAGATGTTTTGAATAGTGGGATTACATGGTTTTATGTTTTAAAAAAAAAAAAGGACAACTGTGTGTTTCATGTCCTATAGATGTTTATAATTTGCTGTAAATAGAAGGGAAGTGTATAGAGTGACTGACTAGTGAAATGCCACATAGATTGTATGATCTATAAAACTCTTTCACTAATGCCAAATTATTGACTTTGATATTTTTATATTAACTGATGTGGCAGTCCAAAGTTGTGCAGGTTCCGTGGATTGGCCATGCTAAAATTGTCCATACCAAAATTGTCCATACCATCCAGGGATGTGTAGGCTAGGTGGATTAAATGTGGGGCTATGGCGATGCGGTTGGGGTTTGGTTCTGGATATGATGCTCTTCAGAGGGTTGATGCAGACTTGACTGGCCATGTGGCCTCTTTCCGCGCTGCAGGGATTCTGTGATTCTATATATTGGTTGCATTGCATTTGCTTAAACCTATTTCTTCCCTAAAAGTAAGTTTACTGGAAAGAGTGAATAGATCAGAAGGATAGCCATGGAGGTGGTTGGGACGTGAAAAATTGTGACCTGTTTGAGTAGGGTGGAAATGGAAGAGATTTTTGGCTGTGCCTGAAATAATATTTTGTTGAAATTTAAGGTTGTAAACTCTAGGATGTGTGTCCTCACTTTGCACAATCATTGCTTGTACTTCAGTATCATTTGCTATGACTTGTGCTGCTGTTTTGGTGTAAAACTCTGCATTCTGATTTGATTTGTTATCTGCACTAGTTGAAAATATTTTGTCACGAGTACATTTTTAATTTTTTTTTGCTCATTCATAGAATGAGGGCAGAACTGGCTAGGCCACCATTTATTATCTGTCCGTAACTGCCCACAGGACAATTAAAAGCCAACCACATTGCTATTGGTCTGGAGTCATGTATGCCAGACCAGGCAAGGATGGCAGTTTCCTTTGCTAATGGGCAATGTATTTTAAAATACATTCGTCATTACCCCACTTACTGTGTATTTCATCCAACTTATTGGTTTCATTCCTAACTTGTTATTTGATGTATTAACATACAATTTGGCATTTCTGAATCCAAATTGTTAATGTGAATAAAATGAAGTAATAGTTCGATGCTGAAAATTGCACACCCACTTTAAAAAGTCCCCACCCCTGTCCTAACAATTCTAACTGACATATCTTTCTCTTTTCTACTGCTTTTTCCTGTTTTAAAAGCTAAGTCTTGGGCTTTGTAATTGGGATGTCACTGTCTCAGGAAAACCTAAGGTCCTTTATCATAGAGCTTTACCTTTGCTGAATCTATATTGACTGCAGGTTAATAAATGATTATACATATCATCACTTTTTACTCATTGCTTACATTATGGGCTCCCTCTTGAGAACTGATTTCACATTTAGGCTCAGTTAACACTGTTTTAGAGAATTGTACTCATGATTTCATCAAATTCTGTGACTTGCCTGATACTGGATTGTTTTTCTCCAAATTTCAAATGCTGTAGCTGCTCCACCCTGGACTGTTTTATTATGTAGTGTCTTGTGCTCTTGTTTCATTTGCATATTTTTGTGCCAGCTAATTTAGACAAATTAGTTTTGTCAGTTTGACATTCAATGAATGACTTTCATTTTTAGGGAACAGATTCTCCGTGTGAAAGCAGAGGAAGATAAAATCCCATTGCTTTTAGTTGGTAACAAGTCGGATTTAGAAGATCGAAGGCAAGTGTCTGTCGAAGAAGCAAGGAGCAAAGCAGAAGAGTGGGGTGTTCAGTACGTTGAGACTTCGGCTAAAACACGAGCCAATGTAGATAAGGTAATTTTTTTGTCTACTTTCTTATTGTTATCTATTGCAGATACCAAGGCTGGTTAATACTCAAACAGCAACTGAAAGAATGGTATTTGGTATAATGTTTTAAGTACTGGCAAAGATCTGTAGCTTGGGTTGTGGATAAGGTTGTTGACTTGCTCGCTGAGCTGGCTTGTTTTTGTTCAGATGTTTCGTCATCGTCACCGTGACCGGACAGTGTAAATTCCAAGCGGAGTAGAATAACATCGCTTCATTGGAGGCTCCACTGATGTCACCCAGCGTGGTGACAAAACGTCTGAACAAAAACAAGCCAGCTTGGTGAGCAAGTCAACAACCTTGGTATAATGTTTCCAAAGGAATTTCAACTGAACCCTCAATCATTCTGTTGAGTAATTATTACATTATAAAAAACATTACCAATGTGTGCACCCAGCACTAAAATTTCTGAACTAATATACCTAATAGAACAAGCTAAGTCCTTTTGAAGATTTTGCTTATGCAAATTCTGTCTTTTCATTGAAGAGCAATGGATATTGTCAAATGAAATCTGTAAGTCATATTTATAATTGTTTATATAAATGATTTTTAAATCTTATTAGGTATTTTTTGACTTGATGAGAGAAGTGCGAGCGAAGAAAATGTCAGAAAACAAGGACAAAAATGGAAAGAAAAGCAGCCGGAACAAAAAGAGCCTCAGAGAGCGATGCTGCATACTGTGATTATTTTTTGTGATCAATTAGCAGCAATTTGAACTTGGGCACTTAACATTCATTTAGCCACTCAATTTGTTTATAATCAATCACTTTATTTTATGGCAAAACGGTGTTTATTCAAAGTATTGAGTGGGTTCATTGTCAATACAGTGCTCTTTGGACCGACTTGTAGGATTTGTATTTCTTTGCCTTTTGCTACAGGCATATTTTAATCTTTGGGTGAACTGTTCTTATCAAGCAGTAACATGCTCCACCTTCCATGTAGATCTCTGGATTCCCTTGTCCAGTTAACTGCTAATTATTCATAACCTCTTCTAAATCAATTTGGGAAGTAATTAAAGGGCAGATTTCTAATACATCAAAAGAAAACTGCAGATTTATAAAAGGCAGCATGCATAAGCTGTTGTATTACAGCTTGTGTTCAAAGTTTAATTTGTCTTTTAATGTGAAGACCTTGTGTTTAAAATAGCATTTGATAAAGTAGTTTGAACACTCAGATCCTCTTTTATATAGCACCACATGTGGTCTTGCAGTATAGCTAAACTCTCAACTTGTGCCATTCTTGAATTGAGAGGCAAATGATTAAAACCTAGCTTTCTGGCATAGTGCAACTGTAAGCCGGCTTTGTTAAAGCCTGGAGTAGCTTTAATAAAGTCCAGAGGTAAAGTTTCCAAGTGTGGTAATTATTTTCTGCTGTTCTTTTCATGAAGTAGAAATATTTTTGGAGGTGTTCTCTCCCATAAACTTAAACCATAGGTCTAATTACCTCACTAAAAAAAAAATCTTGTGTGGTTTATTTTTAGATCTAAGTTTTTCACTAGTACAACAACAACCCCATTCCACAAACAGTTTTGGTATTTTGGCATCCAATATAATTAGTAGCTTTGTAGGTGGAGGGACTTCTCATTGTCTCTAAGAACGTCATGTTGCATTTTCTATCTCTGTGAATAGTATTAACAGCGCTCGAAATTAAGATCTGCTTCACAGATCACTAGCACTAAAAAGTGTTCCGAGTCTATTCACCAGAGCAGCACATGTGTTAGGTGGGGTATTAGATTGTGTGCCTGTCTGTCTTTATGGTAAAAACATTGGCATGAAGAAAAGTTATTTCTCAGCTAAATCTGCAAATGACTGAGCACGTGAAACACAGTAGCAATCATAGGTTTAGTGTTCAACCTTTTTTAAAAGTACATAGTCCTGTATGGTCTTGTGGTAAAAGAAGATAATGGATAAAGAACAATTCTTTCAGATGTTTTTAAGAACACAAAGTTAATCTGTGAGGAATAGACCAATATCTCGCACTGATTTTTAACATGTGTAAAGAAACAAGATTGGACAGTGTTTGGTTTTTATGTAAATCTTGTGAATGACTTGTATAAACCTTGGGTTATTCTGACTTGTGTTTTTAACAACAATTTCGCGGTGGAAGTGGGTTATCACTGCATTAAAACACTAGATTATTGGGACAGTACAGCAATTGATTCTCCTACATTTTGCCTTAACACAAATTGCATGTAATTTGAACTTGACCCTTTTTTGTTTTTTGATTTGTAGATAACATGACTGCATTAAATCACAAATTTAATTAATGTTTATGTTGAGATGAATAAGTTGGAGTTCCATGCCAGTAATAAACTGTGGTATTGTATTTGCCAAAAACTAATAGTTACCCAGACTGTTTACATTGCTTAACAAAATGAATAATTTCAAGATGGAAGTTTCTTGATTGAGACAAACCTAATGTCATCATGAAAATGTGAAATATTTCAATGAATTATGAATAAAACCAGTAGCATAACTTGACTAATCCCTGTCTCCAATGTTCCTTGGGGGGGAGAAAAGCTATGATTTTTGACTTGTAATCATTTTACAGAAAACAAAATCCATGTTAAATCACTGTGTTTTCAGCAACTGAGATCAAAGTTAATGTGAGGCAGTCAGATTCCCCATCACCACAAAAAAAACACAAACTTCTCTCCAGGGAAGGGAGCCTAGACAATGGTGTTTATCCTAAATGCAAGTATGTAGTGTACTAATCGATACTGATTTAAAACCTTTGGCCGTAAGGATAGCTGGAGTGTGAAGTGGAAATATTGCTCGGTGTAATTCTGGTCTGAAGTGACTAAAGTCCATCTGCATATCAGGACTGAAGAGCTGAGCCTTGTATCTTGTGATTTGTGAAATGGAATCATTTTGACATGGTACGAAAGGAATGAAAATTTGATTTCTGGAAGATTTTAATTATGAAAATTATCAATAAGGTTCATGTTGCCTTTCCCCGTACATGCATTCTGTTTTTTGTACCTTTCTTGTCACTGTGGCTCTCACCTTTTGGGAGGAAAGCTGCTGATGAACTCTGCTTTGGTTTCTCTTGACTTCTCTACCTGTGAGCCATTACTATCCCGCCAAAACTAGGTATGTTTTGGCAACTTGAATTGTGTAGAATTATAAACCATTTTCATTAACACTTGTCAACCTGGGTTTGATTATATTTCAGCAGATGAAATAAGTCCATTAGAATTTATAATCCTATTGATAAACTTCTAAACATTTACTACTTTGTCACAAAGAAAATCTTCTGAAATCTGTACTTTTGACTTAAAGACAACAGCTTTTCAACCTGTTTTAGTTGAAATGAAATTTCAATTGCCCCCTCTGCCTCCAAAAAATTAGGGTAATCCAACATTTTGACAGAAAATGTTCATCTTGCGTACTGTTTCTTGAAGCACTGTCAGGCATGCTTTCTTCTTACTTTTCCACCACACCTACTTCTAACCAAGTGCCTAACTAAAGCTGTTGAAATAAAATAAAGCATTAGGTTACTTGCTCAGTCCACTAGCCATGTAAATCTCCTGTTCATTTTGGGTACCTTGGTCTAAGTTTTTAGTGATTTGAACAGAAATGAAACTTCCTTCTCGATGTTTTCCCAACACACAGTTGTGAAGACTTTCATTATTGGTTGGCTGGTTTAGTTTGTGTACCAGGCATTGTGGATCTGTAAACAAGGAAGAATTGGAGCATTAATATTTTAAATCTAAAATGTTTAACTGTTTGCTTTTTAAATGGTTTGTGCTGGCCAGAATTTAGTCTGGATAAGTTTGTGGGAATAACAAAAAATTGCTTGGAGCACATTCCAGAAACAATTTATCTATTCTAAACTTGTTTTAGAAGCTAATGATACTGTAATGTCCAGTAATCAGTGAATCAGTTGGATAATTTCCAATTTTTCTGCTGAGGAAAAATTGCATATTGTGCTGTGATACACTATTACGTCTCTTAATCGGAAAGCCAACTGGCAAAATAATATTTTAAGGGAAAGTTTCTGATGGGTTTATTTTGGTAAGTCTCTCTAGCTGCGCATGCCTAACTTGATCTGTTTCTAGATCATTTCTTTAAATTTAAAATACACCGGTTTAAATTAAATGCTCGCAGTTCCTAAATGCATCGGCAAAATCAGGAATGCTAAATTTGAGACAGGCCATCGTTTGAAGGTTATGGGAAATGTATGTCATAGGAAATTTTATTTAAAAGCTGTAACTTTGAATCATGGGGATGCCTCATTTATGATGTGAATTTTTCCTTTTTTGCTAATTAAAGCAACTTGAGCAAATAAAGCATAGTAACCTCTGAAAGGAGCATTTGCACATTATACTATGGTAGCATGTTAATGAGGTTGTTAAAGTCATTGTTGTGCTTTTTCCAAATCCTTTAATTCATCTCATTGCCTAATTTATTAACCATGATATTTCATGATCTTACTTGCAAAACCTATTAGAATTTTAGGGGCTATTAACTGTATGTATTAAATATGTACTACCCTTGTGATACACAGAACACTTCAGTTGATGCTGATGAATTATTAATTGTTAAAACTGTACAACTCTTTATAACTACTTTGCATCAGTTGTTCATTATTTTCTTACCTGCATCTCAATGCACAATGATTTGTATTTTTTCAACAAAGCATGTTTAGTTAATTTTACAATGCCATAATTCCATGTATACAATGGACTATAAATACCAAATTCAATAAATTTTTTTTTAAATTTTAATGCCATGGAAATTTTCATTTATCATAGCAATGCAAAAGTAGTAATCCTGTTTGGTTCTTTGTCCAAATCATTTTGTAAACGGCCTGTTCACTCATCCCGATTCAAGTCGCAAGATTTTTTACAAGTATTCTTTTTCCAGGAATACAGTTTTTAAATGTAAAATTTATATACGTGAATATAGATTTTTAAAAAACACGTTTTTACATTATCCAGATGATGTAAACAGTGCTTACTATTCTGTCTGCCTATTTTCCCTATTCATGTACCATCCATTCAAGTGCAGCAATTTAAAGGCTGGTGACCATCTGATGCCTCCCCTAGGTGGTAATTCTTTTCCCAACTCTAGACATTGAGCAACTTCGCTTTCTGGTTTATACTACATTATCAGGTGTTACAAGCTCATCAGTCAAGTAGAACATAAGACCATAAGAACTAGGAGCAGGAGTAGGCCATCTGGCCCCCCGAGCCTGCCGCACCATTTAATAAGATCATGGCTGATCTTTTTGAGACTTGGCTCCACTTACCCACCCACTCACCGTAACCCTTAATTCCTTTACTGTTCAAAAATTTATCTAGCCTTTCCTT